CCTGAAACAGCCACTCTCTAGGCAATATCTTCTTAGCTGACCTAACATTTTAACTGACCTAACCCGACCTGGCCTAACGTAAACTATCCAAGGCAATAAATAATGTGTTCCTTTTAAGGAAAAAAAAAATTGCTCTTGATAAAATAAATCGGGGGTGCCTGCGTCTTTCAGCCAGCAGATGGCACTGTGGGACAACTAGAAACAGCAGTGATTCAGGCACCCTTCAGGAAGATGATGGAAACAAACGTGATGGAACACAGCAATTCTTCGCCTGATTTGGACCTATTTAAAATCTACATCTCCAAGGAATTCTGCTGGATGAGGAAAAATAATATAAACTGTGGGGAAAATGGTGAAAAAGATGACAAGGACTTTCCTTTGGAAAATCTCTTAGTCCCTTAAAATCTTTTGGATTCGTTTTTAAAATACAAATGTTCCTGGGATGCGACCCATTTCATCATCATTAATTCCTTTCAGGGCATTTATTTATCACCTTACTTTGTTATACCTCGAGAATAAGGAAACCTCCCTGAACAGGCAAGCACTGCCAGGGAGATCAAGTCTGATACTCAGGGGGTACGCTGGGAAAGACCCAAGAGTCAGGCCTCTGGGCACTGAGTCCCAGCAGGAGGGGACTCTGGAAGGACAGGGACCTGGCTCCAAAGGCAAATTCCCACTGGTTGGCTCAGAGGCTTTTGTCCCTGTTAGGATGGAGGGAAGACCAAGTCCTCGGTGCGCTGAGCTTGAGGTGGGAGTGTGACCTTCAGTCTCCTGCGTGGACATGCTTCATGAGGTGGTCTTGCTTACAGCCATATAGAGCTTGTCTCTACATTGCCACCTACTGCCATGCCCTGTTAAAGACCCATTACAGTTCACAGATGATAAAAACTAGATTGAGGTGCATCTTATGAACATGAAACTAGGGCTGGGGATGTGGCTCAGTGGTTCCGCTGCCTGCTTCACAAGCACAAGAGCCCGAGTTCAATCCCCGGTACTAAAAAAAAAAAAAAAGAAAATGAAACTAAGCCAGGCATGATGGCGCTTGCCTGAAATCCCAGGACTCTGGTAGACTGACGCAGGAGGATTACACATTTGAGCCCGGCTTGTGCAACTTGGCAATTTAGCAAGACCCTATCTCAAAAAGAAAAAAAAAGGTTGGGGGTATAGCTCAGTGCAAAGGTCCTGGGTTCAATCCCTAGTATGGCCAAAGAAAAATAAAAAATAAAAAAAGAAAGGAAAGAAGATACTCAGTTCAATTTAATTTTCAAATAAAAGGTGAATAAAGTTTTAGTGCAAATTCATCCCATGTAATATTTAGGACCAACTAATACCGAAATTTTATTTGGTATTTATCTGAAATTCAAAAGCAGCCGGATAGCCTGTATTTTATCTAGCAACCCTACTGCTGACTAGAGAGAGGCCAAGCAGGGCCAGGCTCTCATATCTCCCAGTCTTTGGTTGGGCCTCCCAGGGCCAGTCTCCACTAGGAAGCCCAGGGCAAAGGAGTCTGGAAATTCCTGGTCTTTGGAGAGAAAGGGGCGGAGCAAGTACGCACATGTTCAAGGGCAGGGAGATGGGCTTGAACTGTTCTCCACAAAGTTTTTATTTTCTTTCTTTCAACATTTCTGAAATACATTTAGATAAACATTAGCATTTGTAAATCTAGGAATTGGTAGCATGGCTGTCTGTTATATTGCTATCTTTGCCTTTCTATATGTCTGAAATATTTTAAAAGTTAACATGCTAACTGCTGTGCAGATAGTACTCGAATAGCATAGAAAGATGTGGATAAAACAGACAGTTTGACATGCCAATGCAAGAAACCTAATGATGGTGGCAGATAACTGATTCCCAAATGAATGGCATTAAAAAGAACCTTCTGTAAGTCAAGAGTGTGGCACAGTCTTATAACCTCAGTGCTCCGGGAGGCTGAAGCAGGAGGATTGCAAGTTTGAGCCCAGCTTGGGCAACTTAGTGACTTAGTGAAACTCTGTCTCAAAATAAAAATAAAAGGACTGGAGATATAGCTTAGAGTGAAGGCCCTAGATTCCACCTCTGGGACTGGAAAAATAAAACCATAAAACAAACTGCTATAGATGATCAGAAGAGTGAAGGAAAACTGAGCTAGATAGAGATCCTGGGAAATTTTCAAGGAAGAGTTAGAACAGAATGGGGTCCTAGAGTCTGGCTGGAATTTGCAAGGTGGGTGTAGAAGAGGGTTAAACTCTGTACAAGGAAACTAATTCTATGAAGCACAGTGAACCCACTGCCTAGGACCCCTGAACAGTCAGTGAAGTGTTTGGGGGTCGGCAGAATCAGCTCAGGATGTAGAACCGGTTGGAGCAGGACTCAAGCCTGCAACTTCTCCCCACTGGGCTTAGTCTGCATGTGCCTCTGTCCACAGGCACAGAACAACCTCCCAAAGGCCCCCAGGCCCTGTGAGGAGCCTGTGTCTTTCCTTCTGGGCAGAAAGACTGTGGGCAATCGGGAAGCTTTTCTTAGCTAAGCAGTGACTTGATTCAAGCTGTGATTTCAGCAGATTAGCTTGGCAACGCCACACATGAAGGAGTGAAGAGGGGAGAGAGAAGCCAAAACCATCGTTGGAAGACACACAGAGGTAAGGCCTGAAAGAGGACCATGGCCGCAGGAGTGAAAATGCGGGAGAAATGAAAAGATCCTGGGAAGTTACTGCCGGAACTTGGCAACTGTTGAATCCAAAGACGAAGGAGGAACTAAAGAGGGCTCCAAGAATCAGAACAGTGGTATCCTTAAGGACAATGAGTGGCCTTGAGAGGGGCAGGCATCTTTGAGACGATTAGACGTTCATTTGGGTACATTTTACATCTAAAGTGGCATTTAAGTGGCCAGGGCGCGAAGAAGGAGTCTTGAGATGGAGGGCTTGAGAGGCAAATGAGAGCACCAATTCTGACTGGAACGTTACATGCTCTTTCAGATGAAAGTCTTACAGAGAAAACGGTGTGTGCCAAGGGCCTTTTCTTGGCGAACAAAGAGCAAGATGACGCAAAGAACCAGGGAAAAGGGAAAGAGGTAGAATTCCTGACTGCCACAAAGGAGAATCCAGTTTCTATGGGCTTTTGGCGATCGTGTGCCCACCCAGCAGCCTCTGGACTGGGCAATATCAAGCCCAATAGAGTTTCTAATGACCCCTGGCTTTCTCTCAGCTGTAGCCAGTCACAGATGCTCAGGACCTGGAATCTTTGCCAATCTTTAATTTGCCCAGAAAGCTGTCCTTTTGCCAGTTCTTTCATTTCTCCTCTATCTTGAAATGATTCAAATAATTGTGTCACCATCAGGCACTGCACAGCACATTTCCCAACACCCCATGGGCCATCACGTGCTCCTGCCAAAGGGCATTCTGGAGTCACACGCCTGGGCTTCGGTGTGGGCCATCAATTACTGTCTGTGACTTTGAGCTGATTACTGAACCTGCCGCATTTGATTCAATTTGTATTCCTGGGCCTTAGCACAGCGGTGAGCACAATTCATATTTATTGAATTGGATTAGATTTTGTAAAATCCCTGGCTCCACAGGTTAGTCTTGCTTTGCCTCCATATTTTCATTCTGTCTGCACTAAGATGGCTTTTTGTTTTGTCTTACAAAAAAGAGAGAGAGAGAGAAAAAAGCAGATTATATTGACCATGTGTTCCAGAAAGGGAGAGGTGGAGAAGAAAAGAGAGAAATGGCACGGTAACTAGAGGCAGTGAAGGGCTTTTTCCAAGATAGTGAAGCCCTGTGTGTAGCTGAAGAGTGGAGGAAGGAACTGATATACTTTCAAAAGCTGGAAAGGAAAGGAGAGATGTAGGACTGAGGGGGACTAAGGAGGTGAGAAGGATTTAAATCATGAGGTCCAAGGGAAAGAGTCTGCCTTTCTTTTACTAAAATCTATTTTAAAACCTCTTTCAAAGCAATGCAGATTTTAAATAGTAGTTAACAGTAATTAGCTGAAAAAGCCATTGTACCAAATATATCATTACTCAAACTGATCCTTCACTGAACCCTTCAAATTTGCACGCACAGACTGATAAAAGTGCATGCACTGGCATTGTACACAGAGGCCTAAAAAGGATTTAACAAATTCATTCAACTCGAGTGACTGTCTAGAACTTCTATCCAAAAGGAACTTCCATAAAGCTAAATGAGTTGCTGAACTCACTTGGGGTACAGTCTGGGGTGCTTTGTTTTTAATTAAAATTTTATTTTAAACAAATTTCAAAATGATAGTATTATTACAAGGCCAGGTTCAGTGGCTCCTATAATCTTAGGCAGGAGGATCACAAGTTTGAGGCCAACCTGGGCAACTCAGGGAGACCCTGTCTCGAAAGAAAAAGAATTACATAAATATTTAATAAATTCCTGTGTTCTTTTCCCCTAGACTCCCCCTACTGTTAACATTGTACTCTTTGTACTATATCTCTCTCTTCAAATTATAGTCATATGATATGCACACTACCCTTATTATGAATATGTATATAATTTTTCCAAGAGGAAATTGATTATAACCTTCTCTGCTAAATACTTTAGCATGCATCTCTTAAAAAAAAGAATATTGTCCTATGTACCACTAGGCAATAATCAAAATCAAGAAATTTAATATTGATATATATCTAACATAGTTCATGTCCAGATTTCAGGGAGTGTCTCAATACTATTGTTTGTAACAACTTCCCCTATCTTCGATGAATGATCTAATCCAGGATCAAGGATTATACTTAATTTCACGAGAGGTTTGCCTTTAACAAAGGAGTGACACAGCTACTAAAAAGTAAAGAAGGAAGGAAGGGATAGATGTGAAGAAAGATAGTCATATTTGGTGACCTGATGTCAATAAAACATAAATGGACAGAACAGGCGAATTCAAGAGACAGGTATGTTTTAGAAGAAAAGTGAATTATAAGACTATGCAATAGTATTGAACATTCAGTTGAAGTTGGACCACCTAAGTTTACAGAATCATTCGTACCTGTGTGTGTGTTATACTGGGGGTTGAATCCAAGGCCTTTGCCCTGAGCTCTTTATTTTTTACAGTGAGACAGGATCTTGTTAAATTGATATGGTGCCTAGGCTGGGCTGGAACTTGTGATCCTCCTACCTCAGCCTTCCAGAAAACGGGGATTACAGGCATGTGCCACACTAGACTACACAGAATTTTTAAATTGTCAATGAAGAATGCAAGAGTCAGAGCTTCATAGTACTTGCAACGTGGGAAAGCTGTTACAAGTGAGAAGAAAGGAGAACCAAGAAGTATTATGAGAGCTGGAAGTTGGGCTGGCTTTGTCATTCCCTCGGGACACAGGGGTAGCTCCTTTTGGACAATGTACTTCATGAAATGACTCTCACTATGTAGAGTGGATTAAGTGGGATGCTGATTTTTCTGTAGGTTAAAAAAGAAGCAAAGTGGCTGGGCATGGTGGTACACACCTATAATCCCTATACTCAGGAGGCTGAGGCAGGAGGGTTGCTGGGAGTTTGAGGACAGCCTGGGCTACATATTAAGATCCTGTCTCAAACAAACAATCAAGCAAACAAACAAGTAAACAAACAAACAGAAGAAACAGACGAAGCACACTGGCCAAAATCGGAAAGGGTATGTAGTCAGGGTTTTGTCCATGCTTTATACACTGTCACAGATCAGGCATCTGTGGAACAGACGCTGCTGCAAATGCACAAAATACAAAGCCATAAAAGAAAAATGAATGCATTACATACAAAATATAGACAAGATTTCCCAGATGGTGTCAGATTGGCAGCATTGTTCCCTCAAAGTGTTTCACTCTGTCTAATTCTGTCCCCATTTTGATATTTTGAAAGAAACTTTTGGAACCATGTTTAATGTGCCATTGAGGCAGAGAAAGCTTTTTAGTTGCTGAGTGAACATAGGCCAGGTTGCATCCATTTCATGATAGTCACATTATGGTAATACAACTTGACAATGTTTGAGCTCTAATCTAAGGGAAGTGCAGTTACAAAGAAATCAAGACTTAAAGAGGTGGAGGTACTCATCCAGGGTCACCCTGCTGGTGAGCAGCAGAGCTTGTGGAGAAGCAGAAGGCAAGGGTGTGAAATGTGAATGGGGAACCACAGGGATGGGCCTATGGGCTGGCTTCTGCACTCTTGGTTATGTTATCACGGTCTAGAGAAAATTGCTAAAACTTCATTAATACGGAAAGGAATGGAATGCACATCATCTGAAACTCGTATTTTTAGAAAATTGTGAGGATTATACCCTTTGATTAACACCTAATGTGTGTGTGGGAGACAGAGAGAGAGAGAGAGAGAGAGAGAGAGAGAGAGAGAGAAGAGGGGAAAGAAGAAGAATGGATGAGGAAGAAGGATAGAGAAGGAGGAAGAGGTGGTAGTGGAGGAGGAGGAAATAGAGGAAGAGACAAGAGGAGAGGCTTCCATTTAGAGAAGTTTTGTTCCAAAAGTTTATTTTTAAAATGATGGCATATCTTTCAGAAACAGGGTTGTGAAAGTTGACCGAGGGCCTAGGCCAGGCAAAAGAAGAAGAATGGATGAGGAAGAAGGATAGAGAAGGAGGAAGAGGTGGTAGTGGAGGAGGAGGAAATAGAGGAAGAGACAAGAGGAGAGGCTTCCATTTAGAGAAGTTTTGTTCCAAAAGTTTATTTTTAAAATGATGGCATATCTTTCAGAAACAGGGTTGTGAAAGTTGACCGAGGGCCTAGGCCAGGCTGGAAAAGTAAATTTAATCAGCACTGCAGACGCACAGTAGTAGAACCACAGAGCCGAGGTGTGGTTTCTAACAGCAGTGTTCCTGTGGGAAAATGTGTCACAGATGCTGACTCGGACCCTCCTGTCCTGCCCTGCCCACTGCAGGGTAGTGAATGGGACCCTTCCCTAACACCAAGCTGCAAGTGGAAGCTTCTGTGTCCAGGAGCAGAGGTGTGAGATATGCAAATGGTCTGGGATGAGTCAGGAGCAGGTCTGGGGCCCTGGGGCCCTGGAGAGTCACAGTGGGGCATCTTATGGCCCCTCAGATGCTCCCCAATCCCTTCTTGGTTCTTCAGCTGTACCTGGAGATGGCCCACCTGCTTCCTTTCCTACGAATGCCAACAACTTTCTTCTCTGGTCCATTCTGGAGCAGCACATGGTCTCTGTATTAATTCTTTCTATTTCTGTTTCAGAAATAACTACATGACATGTTAAAATTTATTTGGTTTTTTGTTTGTTTGTTTGTTTTTGGTACTGGGAATTGAACTCAGGTCCTTATGCTTGGCAAGGCACGCGGCGGCACCACTGAGTTAAATCCCCAGCCCGACATGTTAAAATTTAATCTATTGTAGAATGTTGAGGCTTTAGCTCTTTCTGTTTCACCTTAAGAACTATGAGCTTTCCAACGAGGATAAGCTGGATAAAGCCAGGGGTCAACAGGTAGGCAGAAGGTTGAGAAATAGGAATTTCACTGGCCAGTATGTCTCCAGTGAGGAAGATGACACAAGGGAGTCCCAAAATATCAGCCCAAGATTAATTTTTTTTAGGAAAGGGCCAGGTTAAGAAGGTTTTTCCATTCCCAGATTCCTCCGAGAGTAATGAGACTTTAGACATGATCTTAGCCATAATCACCTAGTGGATTCATAGAAAGGTTAGTTTTGTTTTGTTTTTTGCAATGGTGGGAATGGAACCCAGGTCCCTGCACATGCTAGGCCAGGGCTTTACCACTAAGCTTTAACAATTAGCTATCTGTATTGATATATAGTTAATTTAAAAGTACCTTTCCACTCCTCATTTTTCCTATAATAGTTCCCCTTTCTCTATTTAATGTGACATGAATTTATAGTGAAAACATAAAATAAGAATGAGAGTTGTGTCAGGTGGAGTTCCCCAGGAAGCAGACGCTGAGGTGGATGTAAGACGTTTATTAGGAGGTACCCTTGGAGTCAACCCCTGTGAAGGGAGGGGAGGGATTCAGGAGTGGACAGCTGCTATGCAGGCCCAACCACAGACCTGGCACCCGTTGTACATAAGATGCAGGTTACCTGGGCCAGGTAGCTCTCTGCAACTAAGACACCTCCTGAAAGGGCTCTCAGCTGCTGGGTAGCAAGCCCCTCATCAGAGAAGGTTCAGGGTGGTGCACCCACATGTCTAACATGACACTTAAAAATGGGTGAAAGATATGAGTTGGTAGTTAGTGTAAAAATACAAAGCACACTTGCTTAGATTCTTATTACATTGCACTGATTCCTCCTCAACAGGATTGAAAAAAGAAATCCCCTATTCATGAGTGGTCACTCCTCACTTCCTTCAAGATTAGGTAACCACCTATCTACCGTCTCTATGGATTCGCCTGGGACCACATAGTATGCAGTCTTTTGTGTCTGGCTTCATTTAGTACAACGTTATCAAGGTTGATGCATGTTGTACCATGTGTCAGGATTTATTCCTGTTCTGGGGATGTAGCTCAGTGGAAGAGTGTTTGCCTAGCATGTGGAAAGCTCTGGGTTTGAGTCTCAGTACCACAAAGGGAAAGAAGGGATTTAATTCATGTATTGCCAAATAAAATTCCATTGCAGAGTGATATCACATTTTGTTTACCCATTCATCAGGTGATAGATATTTGAATTGTTCCCATTCTTTGACTATTACAAAAAATGTTGATAGTCTCACTGAATGTTGGAGTTTTATAACGAGACTATGATTGAACAGCTACTGTACTGTTAAAATGTTGATTGCCAGAAGAAGTTACACATAACACATTAACATAGGCTGGTTTTAATGAATTTCCTGTTTTACTCAAAACTACTTTCGAAAAGAGATAGCTGGGAGTAAACTAAAGCTGGGGTGATATGGAGGCTGGCCTAGACCTGCCTAGTGTAAATGTATTCTTATAGATAAAGCTTCCAAAGGAGCCTGAAATATTGCAACCATTTAATTGGTACATCTCATTAGGTACTCTTTTGCCTGGAAGCCAGTGAATAGATAAACTTTGAAATCTCCTTTTTACAAAGTCTTGAAGTTACATATTTAGTTAGTTAATTAGTACAGTTAATTAATGAGAAAATAAACTTATGTTTTGTCTCTTATTTGGCTAGTGTATGGAATGTTTTAATGAGTTGCCCTATTTATGAATCAGTAAAGTAGCAGACTTTTCTATTCTTCATTTTTCATGATTACCTTTGAATTTGTCTAAGTTTCTGAGCATTCTGGAAGAGAATTAATGAGGAGAGTACAGCTTAGGATGATTGGCTGCTCCCTTGTGTATCCCTACAGCGATAAGTACAGTGTTTTTTTATATAACAGGCACTCGTTAATCTTTGTGGATGGATGAACTCAAGCCAAACTGGCCATTTGCTAGCAATTCTTGTGAAGGAAAGGTTTCATAAGTGAGAGACTAACAGAATTAGTTTGAGTGAAATTGTTGGATTGTGTCAACTGGTTTAAAAATCTCTATTTCTTACTGGAATAGAAAATAGTTGTTCTTTTGATTTTGGAAAGCAGTGTGTAAAAACTTATGTGATTTTTGTCTTAGGCATTGCATCAAGTATCTTTTGCTGCATAACAAATTACCTCTAACATATGGTGGCTTCCAATTATTTCTTTTGATCACGAACTGCAATGTGAGCAGGGCAGAGGGCAGACTGGCCATCTCTGTTTCAGGCAGCATCAGCTGAGGGGACCTGACTAGGACTGGAAGATACGCTTGACGGTAAGATGGGACTGGCTGTTGGTTTCGTTCTTTACAGTGACTTGGGCTTCCTTATCACAAGCAACGAGAAAAAACAACAAGCGTCCCAAAAGAACCAAGTGGAAGCTATACTGCTTCAGGGACTCTAGCCTTAGAAGTCAGACAGTGTCACCTCCACCACAGTCCCATGCCCACTCACATTTGAGGGGAGGGACGGAGACCCCGCTTCTCAATGGGAATGCTGTTAGAAGTCATACTGTAAGCAGGATATGTGGGGATAGAAGTACTCTTCTGACCATTTGGGGGAAAATACAATCTGCTCTAGGGATTATTTGTACCCATGGCCCCAATGTAAAAGATTTTTTCCTGTTGTCTTTCTGATAATTTTTTCCAATTGCTTCCTCTAAACTTGGTAAACATTTCAGAAGCTAACTTTTAGTTATTGGTGCTAGGCAAGCCATCTACCACTGAGCTACACTCCAGCCCTGAAGCTCATAACATTGTCCCTGCCTTCCTCCTTCCCTCTTTTCCTCCTCCTTTCTTCCTTTTCTCTTTCTTTTCTTTTCCTTGTCTCTCTTCCTTCCTTTTCTTTCCTCCTCCTCCTCTGTGTATATATACAATATATTTATTATAAATACATACACATAGATATATTGAGAAAGAGAGAGGTATCTGAGTATCTGACAGATGCAAATGGCATAACAAATGGCCACTATTTCAGGATTGCATAGCAAATTATCAAAGTTTTCAAAATACTAGAAGTTGAAAGAATTGTTCTGTGAACATCCATGTACTGCCACTCAGATTCTGCAACTGACATTTTCCTCTATTTTCTTCATCACATATTTATCCATTCACCCATCAATCAATTCATCTTTTTAAATATGTTTCAAAGCAACTTGCAGTCACGGATAGATGAAATAGTATATATGAGCTCTCTTTAAAGATATGGACAGTTTTCTTCCTATTTCATTCTATCTTGCAAAAATTATTAAAATCTTACAAAATTATATTTGACCACTGTATAGAACCACTATATAGAATCACTATATAGGTGGACTCAATACTTTCTCGTATTAACATGAAATCTATGAGAATTTAGTAGAGAAGTTGCCGGAGAAACAAATTCTGTAAAGATTATGCTCTAGGGTGCATATTCTTATTTAATGTGCTGCAGATCACATCATTGCCTCGGCTTTAGAATATAATAAAAACTTAGGCATCTTGAACTGAAAAGGAATAGTTGTGCCAGTTGATATTAAAGCTGGCTAATGAATAAAATAGGCATTGTATCTTTTCATTTCCTTAAGCATCTTGGATGCCACACCGAGTTTTTATCTGTAAAGCTGGGCAAGAATTTCTCTCAGGAAAAGTGAAATCAAAACTTGAATATATTAAGTTCTCCAGAGCAGCAGAACAAAGAGGACATATAAAGATATATGAGAGAAAATGTATATGGGACTTGCCTTGTAGAGTTATGAAGGCTGAGAGTCCGTGAGATACGCCATCTGCAGTCTGGAAAAACAAGAGGGCTGCTGGTGTAATTCTTAGACTCCAAAGGGCTGAGATCTGATGTCTGTGGGAGAGAGGACGCATGTCCCAACTCAAGGAGAGGCAGCTCTGCTACTGTGTTGTTCTCCCCAGGCCCTCAACCAATTGGATGGCGCATCCACACTGGTGAAGGCTGGTCTTCTTAACTCAGTACTGACTCAAAGGCTATCAATCATCCGGAAACCCCCTCACAGATACACCAACACACAGTGTTTTACCAGCTATCTGGGCATCCCTTAGCACAGTCAAGTTGGCAAAATTTATCATCACACTTGAGCCAATTGCACAAGCGAATCCGGTTCACTTCACAACTTCCATGCCGTTTTATTCCAACCTACCTCCTTCAAATGGGATCACCTCAGTTGATCTGACCATTTTGAGTTCATCGTTCTTTCGTTTCTTCTTTCTTTTTGGTGTATATTCTTCAGGTCATTGTCTGGATCCTTTATTTCTATCATACATGAACACAGTGTGAAATGACATGGGAAATTCCTGATCAGTTAATTCATTAGTGACTTTAGTAAATGCTTATGGATTGTCATGCCCCATGGAAAGCATCTGGAAAACGAAAACAAAAAAGAAAGAGTAAGAGTAGGAATGTGGTGGTGATGTGTGTCCTGGCAGAACCTTGTAATCCTAGCTTTTCAGGAGGCTGAGGCAGGAGGATTATAAGTTCAAGGTCAGCTTGGGCAACTTAGTGAGATCTTGTCTCACAAGAAACTAAAAAGAAATGGGGATGTGGCTTATCACACCCTGGGTTCAGTCCTCAGTACTTCAAATAAATTAAAAAAATAAAGAAATGAACAGATAACTATCTTTACTATTAAGGCAAAGTGGTTAGCATTGTATGTTGACCTATAGAAGTAACAAAAACACATAATTGAGACCCATTAAAATATTTCCTCCCCACTTTTCTTTTTATTATTGTTATTATTATTATTATTATTATTATTAGTGGTGGTGGTGGCTTTATGAGACAGGGTCTCAAAAAATGTACCCCAGGCTGGCCTAAAATTTGTGACAATCCTCCTGCCTCAGCCTCCTGAGTACTGGGATTATAGGCATGTGCAACCATGCCTAACTCCCCTTACTATTCTAATTACAATAACTTTTTCTTGGCTGTGTGGCTGGAGATGGAACCCAGGGCCTCATACATACTAAGCCTTCTCTCTACCACTGAGCTACATCCCAAGCCTCCTGACTGTAACAAATTTCTTTATTCAGTCTCTCTACTTTCCTTTACATTGTGTAGATACCAACTAGGAATGCACTTTGAAGGCCAATGTTATGTTAATGATTAATTAGAAAAGTTAAAACGAGCAAGAATTGTTTCATGGATTTAAGAAGCAAGATCAATATCTTTTCCATGGTGTGTATTTTTATATAACCGTCCCAGAATTCCAAGGCATATTATAAAAAGCCTGTAAAATTGTATTGAATCAAGCCTGATATAAAAACTAGACAATGAAATTACAGCCATTTTATTACTTTTTAGTACTTACACTCTATGAACTCATTTATTTCCTATACAAATTAAATGCTGTGTTTTAAAAATGTTTTTCCATTTTTTAATTAAAATCTTGAGATAAGGTAAAATATTTTGCATTACATCTCAGTCTATTTGCATATATTCAAGGGAAAGGTGTCATTTGGGGTCATTTTGAACTGTTAAAACCCTTTGAGGAAGGGATATTAGCAAGATGCTTATCAAGCTACTTTGTACTTGAGCCAAGCAAGTAAGCAAGGGACGAGAATGAAATGGACCACAGTGATGCCTTACTTGTATAGCTTCATACACATAATCATCACTTGATTCCCATAAGAAGATAATAATTTTACCTTGATACCTTTGAAAGGCAGAAAGAAATCTTCCTTGCAGAGGAAGCCCTTGGGAGTCAGTGAGACTATAAGCAAAGTTTCTGGCACATAGTAGTGTTTCATAAATGGTTTCTACTGCTGAGAGGCTATGGCTTAATATTAAGAGTTAGGCTTCTGGAGCCAGGCATGGTACCACATACCTGGAATCCCAGCACTGAGGCAGGAGGATCACTGTGACTTTGACCTGGGGTACATAGTCAGTTCAAGGCCAGCCTGAATCACACAGAGAAACCCTGTCTGATGAAAAGCCAAAACAAAGAGGTAGGCTTCTGGGGTTAAAAACCAGTAGTTGGGCAATTTACTAAACCCTTATCTATAAAATGGAGAAAACCCCCACTTGTATTAGTTACCTCTGCTGCACAGCAAAATCACCCCAAATTAGTATCTTCAAACAAGTATGTGTCACCTCACAGTTTCTATGGATCAGGAATTGGGACCAGCTTAGATGGGTGATTTTGGCTCAAGTTTTTCAAGAAGCTGCAGCCAGGATGTCAGCAGAGGCTGCAGTCATGAAGGCATGTCCGGGGCTGGAAGATCTGCTTCCAAGATGGCGAACTTACGTGGCTGTTGGTGGGAAGCTTCAGTTTCTCACTCCACAGGCCTCTCCATGGGGCATCTTGAGAGTGTCCTCACGATGTGTAGCTGGCTTCCTCCTATAGTCAGTGACTCAAGAGAGAGAGCAAAGAGGAACCTACAACACTTTTTACGATTTAGTCTCAGGTCAGAGCCACCCATGACCATCACTCTGGCCATCTCTTGTTTGTTAGAAGGGAGTTTGGAAGCGTTGCCCATGTATAAAGGGGCTCTCAGGGGTTGTTAAACCAAGGGCTGATGGCTCCTTCCCCCCGGGTCTCCAAACTATGATCAGAGGAGTAGTCAGGCTGAGTGAGGGAACTGAACACATCCTGTAAGGAACTAGAGAAGATACACCGGTCACTGAAGGTGCCTTGAGCCACAGGCTTGGCAGGTGCTGACAGTGAGAAGAGAAGAGGGGATTTAAACCAACACAGCATTTGAGTTTTAAACTGGATTGATTTTAAGTAGCTGAAAAAGATCTAAAAGTCAGAAAAATTATCCAAAATATGAAAGGATATGAAAGGCAAATTTGCCATAAAAAATTCCAAAATAGAGAATGGAGGGAAAAACTGCTTCAAGTTTATACCCCACGGAATTGAGCCTGTTCACTAACAGTTGACCCTTATAAAGTTCTTACTATGAGCCTGGTCCCTTTCTAGCCATTCTACATATAGTCAGTCACTTAAACCTACAAAGTAATCACTATTATTATCTTTAACATTTCTCTTTTATAGTAGAGGAAACTGAGGCACAGGAAGTCGACCAATTTCTCCAAGGACATAACTAGATCTAGCAATTGAACCCAGAAAACCTGGCTCCAGATTCCATGGCTTTAGCTCCTAAATTGTACTGCCACAGTGATAAACCACTTCAATATGGCATTCTGTTCTAGTATGGTTTTCTTCCTTGGTTCTTTGAAGCTCCCTCCCTTCCTCCCTTCCTTCCCCTCTCCCTCTCTCCTTCTGTTCCTTCCCCCTTCCTGTTTTTCTCTGTTTTTTGTTTTGTTTTGTTTTGTTTTGATTTTTGAGACAGGGTCTCACTATGTAGTTGAGACTGACCTGGAACTCACTATGTAGCCCAGGCTGGTCTCGAACTCACAGCGATCCTCCTGTCTCAGCCTCCCGAGTGCTGGGATTACAGGCGTGCGCCACCACGCCTGGCTTTCCTGTTTTTCTTAACAAAGAACAATGTTTTTATTTACCTCCTGCTACCAAACTCATACAAGATGTTAGGATTCAGTTACTATTTATATCCCCCTTGCCAACTGTCATTGTTTGGGACTGTGGTGGTCACAGTATTGCTCAGGGTATAGGTCATTAGGTCAGAGAGAGTTTCTCGGTTTTAAATGAAGTACTGGACTTCAGTTTCTAAAATGACATTTTCCCAAACGGTATAAACTTTAAATGAAATCACATAAGACTGACCTAACTCACTATGTAGCCCAGGCTGGTCTCGAACTCACAGCGATCCTCCTGTCTCAGCCTCCCGAGTGCTGGGATTACAGGCGTGCGCCACCACGCCTGGCTTTCCTGTTTTTCTTAACAAAGAACAATGTTTTTATTTACCTCCTGCTACCAAACTCATACAAGATGTTAGGATTCAGTTACTATTTATATCCCCCTTGCCAACTGTCATTGTTTGGGACTGTGGTGGTCACAGTATTGCTCAGGGTATAGGTCATTAGGTCAGAGAGAGTTTCTCGGTTTTAAATGAAGTACTGGACTTCAGTTTCTAAAATGACATTTTCCCAAACGGTATAAACTTTAAATGAAATCACATAAGACCTGACAGTCCAATTTATACTCTGAGCAGGGCCAAGGAATTAGTAATACTTACCTCTTCCTGAAAACATGATACATTTAAATGTTGATTTGATTCTTAAGCTTTTCTCCTAGGTGCTGATTGCATGATGAGGTTTGGCCCAGATGGGCGTTTCATGAATGCTTTCTGGCAAATAAATGAATAGAAGGCTTTAGTCTTCTAGACTTGTCCCATATATATCCAGGATAAAAATGTCTTACATCTTGATTACCACTTGTTTATTTATTATTGAGAGCCATAAGGGGTAGCACTCATGGATTCTGACATCTTAGCAGGATGCTTCTGTGGCACCTAATAGAAAGTCTGACTCAAAATGTCTTAAATATAAGGCAAAGGCAGAGTATATATTTAATTAGGCAACTCACTGGTGTCATTTTTTTTTTTTTACTTTTCAACTCTTCCTTACTGAGTAGGCAGGCTTTGACCTAAGGTTGATTTTCCTCTTGGTCACAAAATAGCTGCCATTGGCAACTAGGGTACTTGTTTCCTTGTTCATCCAGAGGAATAGACAGGGGGAAAATAATCTCCCAAGCCATGGGCTCTTAAATTCTTTCCTTCAGTCTAATGAAGCCACACACAGGGCTGACTGAGATTAAATGGGATGTAGGCCCTGGAGGTGTGAAGCGCCTGGACACCTAAACACAATGGGGTTCTATTAGACGGGGGAAGGAGCTGACAGATGCTGAGGAGGCTCTGAGGCTGGATTTTCATCTGGAAAATAGGAAGAATCTTGCAGAGAACTGTGAGGATTAGAAAGAACATGTGTAACATTATCAGGTTGTCAGATTTAGCAAATAAAAATAGAGGATGTCGGCTGGGCATTGTGGTGTATGACTATAATCCCAGCACTTGGGTGGCTGAGGCAGGATCACCAGGAGTTCAAGGCCAGCCAAAAACATAGGCTTTGTCTCAAAAAACAAAACAAAAAAGAATAAAAAACAGAGGATGTCTAGTTAAATTTGAATTTCCAATAAACAGCAGATAAAATTTAATATAAATGTTTACTTCTTTCTATGAATACTATAAATTTACATATGGATTTTTGTTTTGTTTTTGTTTTTTGTTTTTCTGAGACAGGGTCTCACTATGTAGTTAAGACTGACCTGGAACTCACTATGTAGCCCAGGCTGGTCTCGAACTCACAGCAACCCTCCTGCCTCAGACTCCAGAGTGCTGGGATTACAGACCTGTGCCACCACGCCCAGCCATGGATTTGGTTTTTAAGCTTTTCTTCTACAATCCTGATTGCATTAGGAACTCTAGTCCCAGAAGGCCATTTCATAATATTTTTTTGAGACAAGGTGTCGCTTTTTAGTGTGGACTGACCTTGAACTCACTATGTAGCCCAGGCTGGCCTTGAACTTGCAGCGATCCTCCTACCTCAGCCTTCTGAGTGCTGGGATTACAGGCATGCACCACCAAGCCTGGCATGTTTTTTTTTCTTTTTCGCAAAGTGATTAGAAGGCTTACTTAATCTTCTAAAGAAACTGGTCATTGTCTGTCTGAAATTCAAATTTGATGAGATGTCCTATATCAGGCAGTCCTATGTAGAGTTCTCAGCACAGAAGAGATATTCCTTCAGCGGTGTTAGTGTTCTTTCCACACAAGAGCTCAGTTAGGTGGCAGTATAGTATTTTTAAAACTCATACTAACGTAGAATTTTTCTTTTCTTTTCTCAAAAGAGGAATGAACCGGACTGGATGTGGCTACAAGAAACCCTGCCCCACTGCTCAAAAACAGATGCGAGCAAAAGTTCCTAAAATGTCAGGATATACTTGTACATGTGGGATGGCACATTACAAAACATCTAATATTACTACTTAAAAGTACATTGTACTTACATCACTGGATATTTGGGCATCAGTTTTGCCTTGTCTGTTCTGAGGTTATCCAGATAAACAATTCTTCATTTGAGTCAAAGGTAATCAATGCTGCTGAAATTTCTACTAGGAAGCAGCTAATGGGTGAAAATGGAGTGATCGTCCCAGGAATTCCTGGCTCCACGTGGATGACTGCGTCGGAGGAAGCAGAACCTCTGCAAAGCCCTTTGCTGTTACCCATGACTCCATTTTCTTACTGCTAATTCACTGCTCCTACCTGTATCATTTTCTAACAATTCCAGGAAAGGTGAAGAGAAAGCAGGTACCTTCATTTCCTCGTCAAATATTCACTGTTAAAAAAAGAAAGACTTATTGGCTTGGCATTAAGTGACCAAACCCAGCGCACTGCTACGCATCGCATCGTTACCAGATTCAAGACATCTATAGACCAAGTGGATTTTATCCAAGATATCTATTTCCTATTACAATACAGCAGATTTCTAATTGGGTGGCTGCTAGGACCCCGTACACTGCCCGTTTTCTGTGCTTTTTCTAAAAATCCAGAAAACAGCCTATTTTCCCCTTTGCTTTTTTTTTTAAAAAAGTAGAAATCATTATACAGCTTTTACATAGATTCGTCTGTAATGATTTTGCATGAAATTATTATTTTTCTTGATTTTCAAAAAGTGCCATTGGAAATGCCATTTCCTTCCATTTCATCACCTCTTCATCCTTATCGAAAAACTGATCCTATTAAGATCTTCCAATTTCTACTGGCGGGGCGATGACTTCATTGCTTTCTCCCCAGCCTGGGGATCTAGGCAGAGCTTCCCACCGAAGTAGAGCTGAGGGTTGCTGCAGCAGCAGTTTGCATGCGCCCAGCTGCTGTGTAAGGAATCCTCAGGCTACTAGTTTTTTGCTCCTAAGTCACCCAAAGGATCGCAGGCTGCGGGATGAGCGTCCCTGTGATTGTGTGTGCGTGTGCGATCGTGTGTTTGCACGGGCTGCTGCAACAGTTAGGCAGCCGCAACAATGGACTTAGATATCATTTTTGCCAACGACAGAGATAAAACCATTCTGATATCCTTTATTTCCAAGCGGTGCCTTGGTTCCCGCCTTGAACGTGCTCTCTCCCTCTTCCCGGTCTTTGCGCTCCCTCCCTCCACTCCGCACGGGTCCCTCCAGAGGGAGACTGGGATAGCTGCGCTGCAGGCAGGATTCCCCCTTTTTTTCCGCAGTGACAGGCGGATTCCGAGGCCTCCTCGTTCCCCCTCCCCCCCCCGCAGCCACCCCCTTCTCAG